GCCTAACAACATTCAAACTGTTTCCCTGAACTATTGAGGGTTTTCCCAGCCAGTCCTTCAGAAAACCCTCCCTTCCAAACATCATCCTTCTGTAAGTCACCATTGGGGTATTTCATTATCTCAGCTCTCTGCAGTTTGCCTTGATCTACACAGAGGGATCAGTCCTGCTTGGCGTTGTATCAGCTAACTCAGGGAGACATGACCAGAGAGCGCTCAACACCACGGTGATGGGCATGGGATAAAAACCAGAACACACTAGAAAAAGAGGAGCTAACAGATCCTCCCCACCCTTCTGTTGCCCGGCATTTCTTGCTACAGGACCGGCACCAGACCCCCTATAACACAGAGACCAGGGCTAGGGTTTTCCAAAGTGACGAGTGATTTGGGGTGCCCAAATGGAGAGAGCTGATTTGCAGTCACTTTCTGAAATCCCAGCGCCGTAAATTACTTTTCAAAATCTTGACCTCATTGTGAGCGGGATCCCAGCCCCCCCAGGAGAGATCAAACAGCCATTGTCTCTGTTTAGACTCAAAGTCCCGGCCCGCGGGCCATCTGCGGCCCGAGAACCTCCCCACTGCGGCCTGCGGAGGGGAGAGACAGGCAGCCACGCTGCCGGCAACGTCTGCTGCAGGCGCCGCCCCCCACAGCTCCCATTGGCTGGGGGAGAGGGACAGAGACACTATCACTACCAGCCACGGAGGCAGCATCACTAGTCGCCGGGCAGAGTCAGCCATTACATCAGCGTCACGTTTTTCCACAATGAATATAAACGCGTCTAAATCCCGAACACCACTATCTGACGCTCACCTGGCTGCCATCCTGAAGGTTTCAACTGCTCAGTCACTGAGGCCAAACGTCAACACACTGACAGGACTGAAGCGTGGCCAGGTGTCTGGCCAGCACTAACAACTCTCTGGCAGGCGAAGAATTGTATCAAGTCGGACGACAGTTTTATTATTTCTGAGAAATTCAAAATAAAAAATACGATATAAACGTTTTCTTTTCTGAACACCAGCTTCAGTGACGTTATTGGCCCGCTGGGAGGATTTGAGGACTGGCCCTAAGGTAAATGGAGTTTGAGACCCCTGATATAAACTAACAGCTGGTTACTTAAAGTAGCACCAGAAGAGGACCCACCATATTAACCAGGTGTTCTGTCATCTCGGGCCACCGATGGACCTTCTGAGATAAAACTTCCTGCTTTTGACCCTGTTTACATTGTGTGCCTGGGGCACTTACTTGTCAGCGAGGAACTGCTGCTCTCATCCATTTCCTCGCAGTGGTTTTGCTAGCTCAAACCAGGTCTGTGGTTTTGACTAGCAAGAAAACAACCCCTTCTATCTTACACAGACACCTTTAATCTGCCTAAAACGCCAACGCTAATCATAACAAACTGGACTAAGAACTAATTACCTGATTACTCTTATATCAAGAACCAGTTTGAATGATCTAGGCCATGTCTACACTACAAAATTATGTCAACCTACATTACACCAGCATACAGCTGCCGCAGTAATGAAATTGCTTTTGCGTGTCCACAGTGCGCTCCATACATCCCAGCTGGCCACTCTCTTACCGGGGTGCCGCACCAGGGGCCACTGCCTTACTTTCACCTTTGTGTGTACCTGGCCGCTGGGCAGCGGAGATCAAAACTGACCAGAGTGGTCAAGGTGGGGCATTGTGGGACACCTCCCGGAGGCCACTAAAGTCGATGTAAGTAACGCAGTGTCTACACTGACACTGCATCGACCTAGCTACGTTGACTAAACTCTACACTGCTCGTGGAGGTGGAGTTATCCAGTCAGTGTAGCGGGTGAGTTACATCAACGGGAGCAAGACTGTAGTGTAGACACTGACATAGTTAGGTCAACATAAGCTGATTTGTGTCAACCTAACTCTGTAGTGTGGACCAGGCCCTATAGTCCTTCACCTGGCCAAAGCTTTTGAAAAATGTGGCCCTACGTTCTTCCCTCTGTAGTCTCTAGAAGTAAGAAAAAGACTGGATCAAGAGAGAAAAATTAAAAGAAGATTTTTATGGGCAGGGTAGAATTAATGAAAGTGAAAGTAAATGAGAATGAGAATGAGCAGAACAAAATGGCCCAGGAAACCTCTCTGAGCTGCTTGTTAAATAACCACAGAGTGAACTAAAGACGCTCCAAGAAAACCACTGTCAAGATGTACTCGCTGTAAACTACCAAATACAGAAACTTCCCCTGTCCGGGTTTCAATATTTTCTGGTGACTACGTGACTTGAGACGGGGGGGAGAGGGGGTGTCTCATTCTGTGATAGCCAATGAGACTGCAGGGATCTGCGCTCTTATTGGCTGAGACATTCCAGTCAGTATAATCCCAGACAGACTGAACATCTACATAAAATCCATACGGGCCCCAGATCTTCAGATCTTCAATCAAACCTGCAGCTGCAAGTGCCTGGTTCTCTGCGGGTAAGTCTTTCTCCATTGGTGTTATCAAAGTCTTTAGATAAGATAACTGGGCGTGAGGAAGCAGCGGT